ATCCCAGTATATCAAAATCGTCTTTAAAATCCATGCTTCCCAGACTGGGTTGAACGTCCATTTTTAAGCAACGCCGCGTGTTCGATTTTCATGAGAATTGGGTTCGATGTGAACACGGAGTGGTAAATTCAAGCATGACATTGTTATGACACTATAATAGGCGGAGTTTATTTTTGAATCATTCATATGATTGTCTGGGGTTCTGTTCTAAGTCAGTAAGATCATATGAAAAGAAATCTTCGTCACAAAGAATGGGCTCCGCTATTACGAAGATAACTTGCATGGTAAGAAATAAAAGAATAGGAAGTGAAATGAATGCTACGGATCATGTCACGTGGCTGCCAGTAATTCGCGCATGGACATTGAACTTTTTTACCCAGACTTAGTACTTCATATATAACAGTGGGACGGACAACTTCGGAATGGACATTTTTCCGAACTTGCGCACCCTTTTCCTTTAAAGCTATCAAATTAGGGGTTTTTTTAAATGATGGGGTTTTTATAATCAAATTGATTTATGAAAAAAAAAATTCAACTTTTTCTGCTAGTTTTTGAGATATTTGAGTTCAAAAAAAAAAATCCCATGGGGAAACATGAACTTAAAAATACCCCACAAAAAACCCCACAAAAACCCCATGGGGTTTATTTTTCACCCCATGGGGGAAATAACCCCACGAAAATCAATGTAGGTTTTTTAAACCCATATGTTGCTTATATTGTCATATGGGGTTTTTTCTCCCACGTTTCTTTATCATGGGGTTTTAAATCCCATGTATTGATATATTTACTGTAAGATAATTCCTAAAAACTTTTTTTCTTAGACTAATGGATCATTAGTATCTTCTCTGTTTCTCATTATATAAAAATGGATAGTTATAACAAATATCTATTATTTTTCAAATTTTCAAGTATTCATTCTTCAAATTTTTGCTTATGTAAAAGAAGATTTATATGAAAACAGGTTTCTAAGACAGTTGCCTCCCATAATGAAACATTCATCATAAAACTCTTCACAGATTATTTGATCGATGACAATTAATCTGAATATTTAAAAAAATGAAACAAGAAAATTTAATACCAACACAATATACACAATAGAAACCAATTCACAGTGTCCAAAGAGGGTATCTTTCCTTAACTAATATATATTTATATATGTTAGGTTTATATGATGTCTAGTTTGTGGATTTCTTTTTAATCTTCATTCCCCTTGCATTCACCACTAATAAGATTGGATTTATGTAATTCATGTGCAATATATCTACATATTTAATTAATGGAACTCATTCAGTTTGAAATAAATTATCCATAATCATTATTATCCTTTTACCCACCACAAATATTTAAAAATAATATCCGCTCCCCTTAGATCCACCACTTTTAAATTAAGATCATGTTCACACATGACATATAAGCAAAATGTTTGAAATAAATTAGCCATAATCATAAATCGTTAATATCCTTTGATCATTCACAAATATTTAAAAAAGATAAATATCCACCACCCCCTTGGATCCACCACTTGTTATCAGTTTTGATATTGATCACACATGACATATAAGTTTAATGTTTGAAATCAATTAGCCTGAATCAGTAATGTCCTTTTACCCATCACAAATATTTAAAAATAATACCAACTTGCCTTGGATCAACCACTTTAAAATTAAGATCACGAGCTAAATGTTGGAAATAAATTAGACATGATCACAAATCATTTATATCCTTTAATCAATCACAAATAATTAAAAAGATAAATATCCACTCCCCTTGGATCCACCACTTGTAAGTTTAGATCTTGATCACACATGATATATTTAAGTTATATGTTTGAAATCAATTAACCATAATCATTATTATCCTTTGACCCATTTCTACAAATATCTATCTACTCCCCTTACATCCACCACAACTCTCATGGCTATCAAAACAATTAATATCCACTTGCCTTGGATCCACCTCTTCTTAGTTAAGATCATGATCACACACAGAAATATTAGCTAAACTTTGAAATAAATTTGCAAAAGTCATTAGTATCCTTTGATCCACCACAAGTATTTAAAAATTCAATACCAACTCCCCTTGGATCCACCAATCATAAATTTAGACTATGGTAATACATGACTTATAAGCTAAATGTTTGAAATCAATTAGCCAGAATCATAAAAAAAAGATGAGACAAATAATTCATGTCGATATGTCTTAAGTAATTGTGAAAAGCAATAAACAAAGGAAAATATTACAACCTACAGTATTCCCTTAGATCCGCCATAATGTCTTTAGATATTGATCACCAATCTGATTTATTCTTCTTTTTTTATCATTAGGTTAGGTATCCTTATTATTTTTATGAATGAATGAATATTATGAAAAATGAAATTAATTGCATCTCTATGCTACTCTGTCTGAATAAAAAAAGCTGAAATAACCACTTAATATCAGCCAAAAAAGCAGGTACAATGAATATGATGAAATAAGACGACATATACATTGTATACATGTACTACGCCTTTACGGTACATTATTTACTACTAGTAATTATGTTCCCCAAACGGAGTTTGGGAACATATTGTTTTTACTCTGTTTCTTATTAGGGTCTTCCGCTTCCTTCGGAAGACCCTACTGTTATTCTATTGTTTCTTATTATTCTTTTTTTTTTTTTTCCCGCTCGACTTTTGACAGGCGATTTCTCAAAGACCCTTGGACTGATCGTTATGAAACTTTCAGGATAGATAGTTTGTAGTTAAACCTATTTGAACCTGTTTTCAGTTTTTTTATGCATGCCTTTATTTGTGAGTTATTGCCCTTTAATTGAAAATTTTTGATGTCTCGTTTCCACTGAAAATCTCAATAATGACATAAGATATTTACACGAAAGTTAGAGAACTTGTAGCCAATACATTGTAGATGTGCACAACGATAAAATTATATAGCAGATTTCTTAAAGTTTGGAAGCTATAAAACGGCAAATTTTAGTAATTTTTTTTCTTTGAATTTTTGCTACTTTTTGTGTAATAACTTTTAAACCAAGAATAATTTGGTAAGAAGTATAACACAAAAGTTGTGGGTAATTACGAGAGCTTTCATATTTGATTAACGAAAAGGGGCTGGCCCCTATAATTAGGGGCTAATGGCTCATACACGTTTTTTTCTGATAGCTAAAAATATTGGTATATTATGAAAAAGTTTGACTGAAATAATTTCGAACTTATAAAATCTTGTCATTTTTTTTTTTTTTTTTTTTTTTTTTTTTTTTTTTCATAAATTTTATTCAATGAAAACATGATAACAAAGTAATTTTGGGGCAAAGACATCCGCAGATGTCCCCCTATAATAACCCTCACTAGGGGTGCCAGGGGCTCCCTAGATTGGATAGCAAAATTATGTTTATGATAAATGTAACAATTGAGTATATAATCATGTTGTATATTAACAAAAATACTTATACAGATATTTATACAGATAGATTTTGTACCTTTATGTTGCTAGGGGAACACACAAAACACTGTCCAACACACCCCTTAGCAACTTGTATAGAGGGCCAGATATTGAGTCTAAGTTTAGAGCGCTTAAAGCCTCATGGGTATGTAGATTGAGAGAAACAGATCACTGTATTAATAGCTACATAAATAGTTATTGTATTCCAATAAACATTAATATCGACTATGTGATTAACACCACGGAAAATAAAATAGAAAATTTTGAAATGATACGAAAGATGCCTCTTTTCTATAAACAAGTATTTACATGCTTCAATGCATGCAAACAATTACACGATAACCTCAGTGTTGAACTTTTTCTTAAACAACCGATATGGTCAAATTTAAGATACTCATATGAAGGAAAAACGATTTACTTTAAAAATTGGCTCAAAAGCAGTATATTGTTTGTTAAAGATCTATTTTCCGAGAATGGTCTCAAATCACCCGATGAAATGACAGAGATTTTGATAAATAAGAGTAATTGGTTATGTGAATATAAAATCATACACTCGATCTTTAAAAAGTATGAAAAAAGATATGATTTCTCTCTGTACAAACATCTAAAGGAAGTGTCATTAAATACTGTATGTTTTAATAAAAATTCAACAAAATTCTTTTATAATGAATTTTTAAAAAGAAAATTTCAAGCTCCGCTTGTGCAAGCAAGGTATTCTAAAGAATTTAATATACCTAAGAGAGACTGGGAAAAAATTTATATAAATAAAATAGAGTTATTAAAAGATAAACAAGTTGCGGAATTCAACTATAAGTTATTAAATAATATTTTGTCTAACAATTATTTTGCAAGTAAATTAAATAAAAACTCTAATTACTCATGTAATATATGTGTCGAAGATGTAGAAAATTCAAAGCATCTCATTTTTGATTGTACAAATGTACGAGAAATCTGGGATATAGTCAGCAATTTCTTAGGTTTTGATGTAAAATGGAAACATATAATTTTTGGTTTTTATATTGATAGAAATGAAACCACTGTCATGTATAATTTACTGTTGTCATTTGTAGCTTTTATGATATACAAATATAAAATGTATTGTCGAGTAGAAAATATTGATGAAACAGCTGTAGGGTTATTAGCTTATTTAAAATCTTGTATTTTGAATTATTCTGAAATTTTACATACTATGGGAGATTCAAAATACGCTTCATTTTTTAAAAATCTATTGAAAAAAATGTAATTGCTTAATATGTCTTTGAGGGGGACCAGGCCCTCAGGACGAATGCAAGAAGGGGGGTAAAATAAGGGACTCTGAGATGATGAAAAGCTTACCTCCCTTCTAGATGTTATAATTAAAACTATTACAGAAATATGTTGCAAACTAATATAATATTGTAAAATACCACTACATTTTCTTTAATTATAAAATTTGTAAGTCTTAAAATGTTTTTTTTTTTTCCTTAAAATATTTAATATTTCCTCAAAGAGGCATTAAATATGTAATCATTGAACTTATCTATGTATATATTTGTAACCTAAGATACAATCGAAATCTTGTCATTTGATATAAAAAGAAATAAACTTCCAGCTATATTTAATTGTTTTTTTATAAAACAAGTACATGTATGTGAGAAACCTTTCAGGAACAAGTTATCTACTATAGCCAGCCAAGCCTTTACTGCATACATGTGCACATTTTTAGTTGATGCATCTAAAAGATATTGTTTTGATTCGGTGTTTCTTTGTTTTCTTTTTATTCAAATAATTTTAAAATGTGATGATGTACACAACAATAATTAGTACCTAGTTTAGAGGATTTTTTCGTGCTTGTTTGTAAACAACGCGCGGCATTGTGGGAAATAGGAAGGTACTAAAGACGCGATGTACTAAACACTGATTTGACCTGATTCAAATTTGTCTGTAACTGTTCCAAACAATTGAATTTTTGTATAGCATATGCCTCAAAGTCATAAAGTCTGTACATAAGTAATTTAAAATACTCAATATCACCATTTAATTAAAAATTAAAACGTCAGGTAAATATCAGGTCTCTAGTATATCCCGTTTTTAGTGTGCCCCTTCGAGTCGACGTTGGACACATGTTTACAAACTGAAAATAGAATGATTTGTGAAGTTGAACATTTTCTGACAAAGAATCCGTTTGTAGACATGTACACTCATTTAATCTGCAGCTACGAAGTACTTTTTCACTTCTCTGGAACATTATTCTAAGCAGAATTATCCCGATTCATATATTCTAAGAATCTTGTGTGAATTGTTTACGAGGAAATTCTGACTGTCACATTAACAAGGATGAACACTCTTGACTCTGCTTCGGATTCGGATCATCATATCATTCCCCAGTGATAATTGTATCGAGTGATGAAAGAGCTGACGGCGACATTTTAATGTATGATTGGCTTGGACCATTGGAATGAAGGTTAGAATATTTTTATTACTTAAAATTTACACTACTGATTACATGACCAGGTCCAGCACAATACCCAGATAAAGGTATATAGCTTGATAAAGCTATATAGCTTTATCAAGGTATTAAAAATACCTTGATCAAGGTATTTTATGCACTGAAAATTCAAAAAATTCTTTAAAAATTAATTAATGAAAGTCGAGTTCTGAGTTTTTGACAATGTGTCTATGCGTGCATGAAAATCACTCTGGTATCAAAAAGAAAGCATAAAATAATGTCTCCTCTCACGACACGTTTTTATACTGATTTGTTTGTGTTTGAGTACTTTACATGCATGGGTGAATTTACTGACAACAACTCAGAACTCGACTTTCAGTAATTAATTTTTAAAGAATATTTTTAATTTTCATCACATAAAATACCTTGATCAAGGTATTTTAAATACCTTGATAAAGCTATATAGCTTTATTTAGCTATATACCTTTATCGGGGTATTGTGCTGGACCTGATGACAGTGACATACATTGATGTTATTAGAAATACACAGACACACCGATATATTATCTGTTTTACAGTTCAGACGCTCTCTGTTTACCTTGTAAATCCCCACAGCTTTATATTTTATTTTTTTTTAAATTTGAGGATGTAATTTCAACAGTCCTAGCCTACTATCTATCATAGTGATCATACTCTATAATTCAAACTGCACTTAATGTTACAGAATATATTCAACTAATTATATATTGACAGTGTGACTTTAAGGGTGAGGGCAGATACTTATTTAGTTTTAATTTAGATTGTGCTTGTCAAGCCGCATTTGACATTTGGTGCATCCATGCTCAGTGTTCACACTGAGAGTTTATTCAAATGTTTAATTCGAAAGAATTCACTGCTCGTTAAATTAGTTATTACTTCCCATTAGCTCCATGTGAACATGAGTAAGACTAGCTAATTCAAATTAAATAGAAATGAATTTTGAATGTAGCTTAAACATGTTAAAGAAGCTATGCACTGTGGGTAGGGTTGGACAACGGTACACGGTACCAGTACCGTACCGAATAGTTACTTCAAAAATACCGGTAAAATACCGTTTCATTTCATACCGGTACTGATAACGGTATTTCTTTATCTTTAAAACATTGTTATACATTACAAATTATTTTTTAGTCAAGATTCCAGACTCGCTAAAATGGAATTCTCCGTGCATTGAAAGGGTAGGCTAATCAACGAAATCAGTACTAAGTAAGATACTTCCTTTCTACAGCCGATACTCGAGGGAAACCAATGCGTATTAAAAATATTTAAATTAATCTTGTTTCAGTTTTATTAATAGAAACTGATAGAAATTGTCAATTAAAAAGGCAAAACGTTGCGGATTTGTGATGTCATTTCTCTTCATTTTTCATGTTTCGTCGTTTAGTGCTACCAAGCAAAATGGCGACCGGATGAGACGATCAGCTGTAATTTAGCAGAGAATTAGACGGCGGTGTTTTTAATCTTATTTTTTATTTTATAGAGATTCAGAATAATTTGTTTAGTTGATTATTTAATAAAAGGTTGAATTATAGAAATAGAATATATTTAACACATTTTAGATTATAATATTGAAAGTTTGGTTATAAGCAGTGATAATTGAAAGCACATTTGTTATTAAAATAAACCCGGATTCTCATACATCAAGGTATAGTACCGTATCGTCAAAAATACTGTATCGTTTCAAAAATATCGGTATGGTATCATACCGTTTCATCCTTAACGGTATCCAACCCTAACTGTGGGTCCAAAGTATACTGCGGAAAAATTGTGTGGAGCAATGTGCAAGTCACAATCTTCTTTTGCCAAGGTCTTATCATAAGAGCTCGCATTATGGGCTGCTGTCTGGACTCGCTATAAATAGATGTTCTCAAAAAGTCTTAATTATTTGATATCATACTTTACTGACAAAAAAGGACAAATATTGCTCTGTTAAATTGCAAAAGAAATTTGTTTCAAAAAATTGTAATAATAGAAAGTTTGCTTTTTTGTTTGATAAGACTGCTGTAATGGTTTAATGTTTGTTTATTTGCCTTAATCATACATTTTTCAGTCATTTCATGGTGCCACCACTTGGGATGGTATTGGCTGCAAATATAGACTTGTACTCAGCACTTATTGCCTTTAAGAAGTATGAGATCCATTTTGTGCTAACACCTACCGTGACACAGAATCTTGGTTTATGCAGTCTCATAGGAGTAACCTGTCTAAAGCATTTAGCAATGGGATTGGAACCTGCGACGTAAGGTTCAGCTTCTTATTGATACTTTGATTTATAATATTTATTTGAGAATTTCACTCATTCACATACTTAGAGATGTTGAATATATTGAATAGCATCAATTTAGACCTTTACTTAGCTAAGTAAACATGTACTGTGAGGTTTTTAAGGTCTCATTCATTTTATATGCCAGATGCATGTTAAGGAACATTACTGCATAAATGTTTTTGTCTTAAATTTTTTTGACTTAAAAGCTCTTTACTAATATAGAGATATGTTAGTGTTAAACCTCTTCAAATTAGGGTAGATCTTTACTTTAAACTCAGCAATGTGAGTGTGTTGTGTGAACTTGTGTTAGCGAGACAATGTGTTGTATGAATTTGTGTTAGCAAGGCAGTGTGTTTTGTGAACTTAATTGTGTTAGCCTGACAGTGGGTTGTGTGAATTCTTATTAGCTTGACGATGTGTTGCGTAAACTCATGTTAGCGGGACAGCGTGTTGTGTGAAATCGTATATAAAGTGTAAGTGTGACAGTGTGTTGTGTAAACTTGTGTTAGCTAGACAGAGTGTTGATTGAAATCGAATTAGCGAGACTTCGTGTTGTGTAAACTCGTGTTAGTGAGACTGCCTGTTGTGTAAACTCGTGTTAGCGAGACTGTGTGTTGTGTAAACTCATGTAAGCGAGACAGCGTGTTGTGTGAACTCTTATTAACGAGACAGCATGTTGAGTGAATTCGTTTTAGCGTGACAGTGTGTTGTGTGAACTTGTTATCCTGAAAATTTGTCATGTGAACTGGTGTTAGAGAGATAGTGTGTTTTTTGAACTCATGTTAGCGAGATTGCATATTGTGTGAACTCATGTTAGCCAGAATGGTGTTATGTGAACTCGTGTTAGCGATATTGCATGTTTTTTGAATTTGTGTTAGCGTGATTGTGTGTTGTGTGATATGGTATTAGGATGACAGTGTGTTGTGTGAAATGGTATTAGGATGACAGTGTGTTGTGTGAAATGGTATTAGGATGAAGTGTGTTATCGCAACAGCCTCTCTGGTGCGAACTTGTGTTATTGAATAGTGAGACAGCCTGTTTTGTGAATTCGTGTTAGCGTGACAGTGTGTTGTGTGAACTCGTGTTAGCCTGACAGTGTGTTGTGTGAAATGGTATTAGAATGACAGTGTGTTGTGTGAAATGGTATTAGGATGACAGTGTGTTATCGCAACAGCATTTGGTGCGAACTTGTGTTAGTGAATAGTGAGACAACCTGTTTTGTGACTTTGTGTTAGCGTGACAGTGTATTGTGTAAACTTGTATTAGTGAGACTGCGTGTTGTGTAAACACATGTTAGCGTGACAGTGTGTTGTATGAACTCATATTAGCGAGACTGCGTGTTGTGTAAAACTTGTTTTAGCAAGACAGTGTGTTGTGTGAACTTGTGTTAGCGAGACAGCGTGTTTGTGAATTTGTGTTAGCATGATAGTGTGTTGTGTGAACTCGTGTTAGCGAGACAGCGTGTTTGTGAATTTGTATTACAGTAAAACACGTTTAGTACGAACACGGATATAGCGAACTCACGGATATAACGAAGTTTTCCTGGGTCCCCGGCAAAATTCTTAACAAATCTTTGTAAAATTTTACGGTTTTAACGAACTCTGACATAACGAATTTACGGATATAGCGAACTGATTTTGAGTCCCGTTGAGGTTAAATATAATGAATTTTACATCTTTTATAACGAACTTTCAAAGATTTCGAAATTTGAATATTAGAACTGACTTTATTTTCTCTCAGCATTAGTATATAAAAATCAATTCATAATAAAACTTTAGTTATCTAAGGAATGTTTTGTAATATTTGCTTCCCTAACATATTTGATGGTAACACTTGAAGGAAAACATGCATATTGCGAATTCGCTATATATGGTTATACGAATTCGTTATACGGATATAACGAATTACGCATATAGCGAATTAAATTCACAGGTCCCCAGCACTTCGCTATAACAGTGTTTTACTGTAGCGTGACAGTGTGTTGTGTGTTAGTGTGACAGCGTGTGGTGCGAACTTGTGTTAGTGCGAAAGTGTTTTTCAGTGTTGTGATGGCGAGCTGTGTGATAGCTTAATGGCGTCTTTTGTGTCGGTAAGATGGCACGCTTTTATGAAAGTGCTATTGAGCTTTAGCAAGTGGCCCTATCTGGACACGCCTTATTATAATTGATCAGTTCTCAGATATACAGTGAATTACCGGTATAATTGTCACCATGAAATCAGCATTTACAGTTGCAATTACCTAGTTAGTAATCATAAGATATTGGTTTGCGAGTTTTAAAATTATGGTGTTCCAATGATGTGAAGTTGCAGTGTGTTAGCATGTTAATTTCAACAGACTGCCACTCCAATGCAGCTTTAAACAACACGCTGCTGTGTTTACACAAAACAAAATATCATGCAAACACAACTCTAAACAATCTGTTGAGTGTTAGCTTCACTGCATGTTGGATTCAGTGTGCTGGCATATTATCACTGACGTACATGCTAGCACATTGTCACCTCGTGCTAGTATGTTGTCATAAATACTCTAGCACATTATCCTAAACCCACAAGTGCATGATTACTTTGCACTTGTATGTTGTCTTATTAGGGGATAGCATAAATGACTGCCTTAATTGGTGTAAACTTCTTTTAATTGATGAAAGAGTACATTAAAATTTACAATTTATACACAGAAAATGTGACAATATCTTATCTCTCAATTTGATAATCTAATTTATAATCTCATGAATTGCACTTTTTATTAGTAAAAGAATTATAAATTAAAAAATTTCAATTTCTTTTGGATAGGTGTGACTCATCTGAATACTGAATTTTGATACCAAGCATGACCATGATTTGCCAGAAGATCATCTGTTTGGATGTGACATGGAATAAACAGCATAGTGAAAATAAGTCAAGTTTTGGTTTGTGAAGACAATTTTTAAACACACTGTGTATCATTTTTAAATTTTGATTTGACAACATAAATCCACAAATATGAACATATCAATTGCTCTCAGTTTTTCAAGTGAAATAGTTTTTGTAACAGAAATACATGTACCAGTAATTACATTGGAATAAATGTTATTTTTAAATATAATAATATTTTGTTTGTGTAGCATGTTGACCTCTTTATTAAGGTCTTCCCTTTCAAAGTTTAGACTTACTTATTCTAATGATTAAGAAAGATCCTCTGTCTTCAGCAGGAATATAAGATCTTGTAATACATGTATGTGTATTTTTTACAGTATAATGTAAAAAAAATTGTTATTTTGGCACATACAACTAATTAAAGGCATAAACATGTGTATGATTCCAAGGAATTAAGTACATAGGGCATGTACATGTAGTTTTCTAAAACAAGATTGAAGAGATGTCCAGTCGCATTTCAATGTCAACTCCAAAACTGTGCCTGTTGCATACTTATTAGCCCATCTGAGCTAAAGGAACCAGTAATTTTTTTAAAAACATAATTTTATATATTAGGGTAGGGTGGTGTAATTTCGACCGGAAATGTAAGATTTGTTACCTAAAACGTATATATTTTTTAAAAGTCTCGACTTGAAAGGAAATCATGCACTCCCACCCTTAGATCCCTTCATTCTCAAGACATATTACTTGTTTTTTTTCGTAAGTCAGGGAAAAATAAGAAGTAAATAAGTAATTTATGACAAGATCAAAATCAGGGTAATTTCGACCGAATGAGGGGTAATTTCGACCACCGTCATTTTCTGGTATAGAAAAATTGCGCTTTGAACTTTTGGTATGCTTACTTTTCATTGCATGCGAAGCATACGTAAAAAATGTGCATTTAATATATTTTATTTCCAAATACAAATCGATTTACATATATATTCTGAAATATTTCTTTATTTTTTTTAAAATATAACAATGAAGAGAATTAAATTTGATTAACTAAATCGTCGAATCGGATAATTTCGTAATCATATCTATGTATTATAGTGTTATAGTTTTTGCCACAATTAAGCAAACGATCAAAATAAGTTGTATGTCACATTTGGAATCTGAAACATGAATAAAAGAATGGTGATTTTTCATTGACTTAAACCAGTCTATTACGAAGGAATTTTGTGCGTTTCAATTTTATCAAGTCAAGTTTAAGGTATTAAAATTCTTGACATGGAAACTGTATACCCAGTAAGTTAAATGTCCATTAATATGTTTTTCATATTATTTCGACACAGATTTCTTGTTTTGTTTCGTTTGTTTTTTTTGAGTTTTCTTTTTTGATTTCTCTTTTCTCCTTTTCGGCCATTCTTTCGCGCTTTCCTTCCACAACCTCCTCACTAGTCAACAGACGATGGCTGGTTATGCTGTTGGAGGATCTTGATTTATGCATCTTTGGCGTTGACTTTGGGATTGAAAATATATCGTCGATTTCCGCCGTCCAGTTCCAAGTGCTTGCATTGTTGTTGGCATCACTTGTGCCTGAAAGTTCCAGGGCACCATTTCCAAGAGCATCTAAAAGAGCGCCAACATCTGCTGGTGGTATCTGGGCATCCAGAGAGGCCATATCATCGGGTATTAGATCGTCTGGTGTACCTAGCTCGTCTCCATGTTTGGTTGAGCTGTCGTGGTCCTCTACAAGATCTGTAGTAGTTAATGACACGGCTGTTTCGGCGAGAAGGGTCAAAGACAAATTTGGTTGTGAGGAAGAGGGCACACTTGTTTGCTGCCGGTTTTCAATGGGTAGGTCAAATGCCTCTGATGGTAAATAAACGTAATCTGGCAATGCGCTGACGTTCATTGGCCAGATACCAGTTGCACGGAACCCACTTTTGATGTTGTCTGGGGTTACTGATGCCTCCCAAGCTGATTTGAAAATTCTTGGCCAAGTAGACTTATTGATCTCGTGGTTAGGGTGATTTGTCATAAATTCAGAACAAGCTCGACCATACGCCTTGCTGAAGGGACCAAAGACTGCCTTGTCAAGGGGCTGCAGATGATGGGAGGTATGTGGAGGCAACGCCATAATTAATATGTTCTCGGAAATGGCTGCCTCCAAAAGACCCAATACCTCATGAGAACTATGAGAATCTAAAACAAGAAGTTGTGGTCTGCGGGGCCCACAGTTCTGAAGGAAAACGGATTTGAACCAAAGTTCCCCAAGCAAATCACACATCCAAGCCTTTTCTTGGTAAGTCCATATCGTTTCCGGAGGAGCATCAATGGTCGCAAATGATTCTACACATCGCGGGGTTTTCCCTTTGACAATGCACATCGGTGGCATTTTGTCACCAGAGGCATTGACACAAGCAAGTATTGTGATGCTTTGTCGCGATGTGGACGTTCTTCCCGGCAAAGACTTGACACCACGTCTAGCAAGTACAGCAGCAGGGTTATGACTGAATTGTTTGCAAGTCTCATCCGCATTCCAAATATCTGAAGGAGCTAATTTATTTTGTTTGATTATGATGTGCAGATCTTTAAAATACTTCTGCACAACTGCTTTGTTCAGCATCCTTGAACGGGTTGTACTTAGTTGTTCTGGTCTTCGAATCACAATCTCTGGGTGTCTATACTTAAATGCTCTCCACCAGTCATCTCCAGGGACCCCATTCTTAAAGGTTATGCCTTTTAATTTCGCCAAACGCGCAACTTTAATAATAAGTTGCTTTTTTGTTACCCCAAAGCCCCGTTCTGCTGCAGCCAAAATTTTTTCAACAATTGAGTTTTCAACTTGGATAGGTATTGTGGATTTTCTACCAGCTTTTTTACCTATTTGACTTTTTCCCGTTACGTGGTCAACTATGGTTGTTTTGGGTACCATGTAAGTTTTTGCAGCTTTTCCATAGCTCATCGCTTTTGTTTTAACAGCATTAACTGCACTTTGAAGATTTTCTATCTTATATTTAACATATATGTTTCGCCCTTTCTTTGGCATCTAAATAAAAAAAAAGATTTTTTATTAAAAAAATTATAAATAACCAACGTCACACATATTTATTTTATTGTTCGTCGGACATCTGATGAAAAAAATAGGAGCAGGCTAGCGATTAATTAATTACATTATTTCTTTCCTGTAAACTCACTTTTCAGGCAGAACAAGAAAAAAATTGAGTGGATATTTATATTTTTTCTACTTTCTCTGATTTTTAAAGTAAACAAGTTTAAAATACGAAAAAAAAATAACGGAAAAAAGAACAAATATATTATTATATAGCTCAGAGATTCCCAGGTGCAGGGAATTAAAATTATTTTGTTTAGAGTTATTAATACAGCCAGCGGGTCCAACGATCAAAAATTAAATTGGCGTGGCCTAAATGACAAGTAAATATATAATAGAACCGTGTATATTGAGCAGAAAAAAATCTGTACGTTACACTACAATATTTTCTAAAGTGATATGCGATATATTAGATTCTTTAAAAAAAATATTTCAAAAAACTATTGTAAATTAACTCAGTGTTTTTTTTTCATCAATTTCAAAGTTCCTGTCTCGTTGTCAATATAAATATACATAAATTTAAAACTTTTAACATTTGTAAAACCATGTTAAAATGGTCATTACATGTTTCTATTATTTATGATAAGTTTTAATTAACGACAGTTTAATAAATATTTGGTGATTGAAAACTCCAACTTTTTTTTTTACAGAATTACAACTATTTAAGAAAAACTGTGCCCGAAAAGTTTTGGAATTTTTTTATTGAAAGGATATTTGATTGAATTTCCTACGTATCGTTATATCAATATATTGACACAGTCCTAATAAACAGACAATTAAATAAAACAAAATAAGTTTTATACTTCCAAAAAGATTTAATATTGACTCCAAATATGAATAATTTTACAAAGAAAACATCTTAATTTCTTCTCTGTAGTATTCTATGGCACTGCGGTCCTTATCGTCTAAAGGGCATGCCTTACAAAGCGAACCAGCAATAAAGACAATGCTAGTATCTCCTGTTTCTAGTTTTGGTTTTTCTCGACAAAGAATTTCATATAAATATTTGCCAATGTGTGTACAAGAGGACAGCTTAATTAAAAGAATGGCAAGGTCCCAAAGACATTCGTGATCAAAAAGTACTTCGTTTTCAAGGTAACCCATTACTTCGTTTCTCACTAAACATTTCAAAAGAGAGCTATCACTCCTTTGCAGTCCTAACTCCCGATTGTAAAACAGCTTGGTCAAATTATGAGTCATGCTGAAAATAATGAAATTCTTGAGTTGTTTAAAAAACAATAAATACGCTACATATATGATTTAGCCTAGTTATTATTAGGGTCTTCCGCTTCCTTCGGAAGACCCTACTGTTATTCTATTGTTTCTTATTATTCTTTTTTTTTTTTCCCGCTCGACTTTTGACAGGCGATTTCTCAAAGACCTTTGGACTGATCGTTATGAAACTTTCAGGATAGATAGCTTGTAGTTAAACCTATTTAAACCTGTCTTCAGTTTTTTTATGCATGCCTTTATTTGTGAGTTCATTGCCCTTTAATTGAAAATTTTTGATGTCTCGTTTCCACTGAAAATCTCAAAAATGACATAAGATATTTACACGAAAGTTGGAGAACTTGTAGCCAATACATTGTAGATGTGCACAACGATAAAATTATATAGCTGATTTCATAAAGTTTGGAAGCTATAAAACGGCAAATTTTAGTAATTTTTTTTCTTTGAATTTTTGCTACTTTTTGTGTAATAACTTTTAAACCGAGAAAATTTGGGAAAAAAACACAAAAAAAGGGGGTAATTTAAA